AATTCCGTTCTAGGAATTTATAGCAGCGTTATGAATTTTCACAGCCTTTCCGGTCATCCTCCTTTCCGATAAATATTGGCTAACTTCGAATTCTTTTCCTGAGATTGATGACGCATAAGCAAAAACAAAAAGCTAGAAAATAATAAAACAAATTCTATGTTAGGATATAGCGATCTAAAAATTTTCTCCTACTCCATCCTGAACACTCGGTCTTATATTCTGCCATAAATTGGATAAGTATTGAAAATAGAAACTGTGATAAAATATTGAACAAAACTAGTTTCGATATAAATGCGTTTTTGAAAAGTAAACTAAAATTGCGATGGAGTGTATTACTGCCCCTGTTGTTGAAACGTGCTGGACATTTTTAAAAGAAAACTTTCAATAATATTGAGTAAAAAGAAACCTATCATTTTTCTGTTGACTTTGAAAAACAATTTACTCTTTGATAAAGGAAATGTGGTCAGAAAATTTCAAAACAATATGAAAAGTCTGAGCTCCAGAAAAAAAGGAATGAATAAAAAAAATAAAGAATTTCGATAAACTTTCAGTCTTTTTATCCTAAAATGGTAGCTGAAAATAAATATATGTCAAATCTAGTTCCTTACATTTATGTAAACTACAGTTTCTTCAGTATGTAAAGTGTAAAATCAAAATATTACATTTATTATAAGTATTAATTAACATTTTTGCTCCATTAATTTTATGTGCTACATCACGATTTTTAAAAAAACGCCATCCTATACTATTTTTTAAAAAAAACATTGTAGTATCTTTCAGTCGAATATTATAAACACTGAATTATTACTTCATTGAAAAATACATCAAATCATTGAATAAGGTTTTATTTCGCAGTTTATGAGCTTTTTTAAATCTACTTTAATTTGTTTATTAAATTACAGCATTTAAAATTAGGCTTAATAAATAAAATTATAATTCATGATTTTGAAAAATATTCCAAATATAAAAAAAAATATAAGAAATATCCCATAAAAATTTTTCAAGGCATTTATTTTTTGAATTCTGGAGGCACTTGAAGTTTCTTCATATTTCTTCCATGATTATTCTTCACAAAGTTTTCTTTTTAATAAATAAAGATTAATACATTTATAAGCGCACCATATTGGATTAAATTTATAATATTTACTGTTCGCAAATTTAATTAAATAAGTCAAATATACAATTTTCTAGCAAACAATTGATATTCAGTTAAAGAAAGAGGAAACGTTTTTTTAATTAATTTTGATATTTGGTTTTTATTTCGTTAAAACGTAAGTTATATAATTTTCATATGTTTTTAATGCTGTTTCATTTATTAGTTTATCATAAAATTTTATCCCCTTAAAAATCTGTCAGGTAGAATTTACTTGCATAAACGTATTGCATCTTTATATATGGACTAATGTCTTATGACACTATTCACTCATAGTAGTATGTATAAAGTTTATTTTTTCTAAATTTAATTTGAAAAAAACATATATATAATTATTACAAATATTTTTATGATGTATCCAATCTTTTTATATTTTATTGATTTTCTATTATTTACAAGTGTAGTCTCAAATCAAGTTTTTAATAGTTTTCTTGTACTAATTTGTCAAAAGTTTCTGCTGAAAGGAAAGGTCATATTCTTCCAAATCAATGCTTAACCCTATATCACTGTCTTAAATCAGTGATAGCTTTAGAGACTGTAATATACATCCATTTTAGTAAAATAACTCTTTTTTAATATTCACTTAATAGCTCCATATTTCCAAGTTCTTGATAATTTTTCAATTAGTTTAAATCTTATTTGATTGTGAATTTATTATATATATATATATATATATATACATTTTTTTGTACGTATTAATTTTATAACATATTATTTTTCAAAGACATTACAATTAGTTATTAATGTAGTTGTAAGCAATTTCATTATATATATATAAAGAATAAACGAGCTAGATTTTGTTTTAACTACTTATATTCTAAGAATAAATTTAAGTTTTAAATTTGAAATACTTAGAAATTTTTTTTTATATCCTTTACTCGAAATATATCTTTGTCAATAGTGTGAGAAATCCAATAAATATAAATCAAGCATTTTATTTTTAAACTTTTATTTTTATTAATTTTTAATACTATGCTTATTTTCTTATCCATGATGTTATAGGAAACAAATATGCTTTGTATTATTGTTTACAGGTTTTAAATTTTACTTTAGATTTAACAATGCATATTATTATATGGTAATTTTTTAAAACTGAAGATTTTAAACCATAATAATAATAATTTTTACATATTAGAATGTTGATATTGTTTTATTTTACCATTTTATGAACATAAACTTTTGTAGGAATTTGCTTTATAAATTCTGATACATTATTTACTTACATAGTACTTCTAGGAGTATTTAAATGCTTTACAGATATTTTGGGGCAGAGATCCAAATTTTCAAACATATTCATTACATGAAGAAACAATTATTTGCTTCATGTATTTATTATTACTTTGTTATTGTAAACTTGTATATTCAAATGTATACTTGTTTACATCACGAGCATACTAAGTTAAAAAATAAACACATTATTCCATTTATATTTAGGAATTGAAAAAACGCTACATTTTCTTCTTAGCATTTTTGAGAATGCAATGTTTAATCAGAATGTTAACTTAAACTTTATACCCATTGATAAAAATTTTAGTATGCTGAACTTTTAAATCTGAATCATAAGTAAAGATGTAGTATAAACGGAATATGAAATAATATGTTTATTAAAAGACTTACTTTTTGGCGGTTAGTAACAAATAATCAATCGAAAACTATACCTAATTATTTCAAATAAAATGGCTTTCACAAGTGTTAAATGTTCCAGCTCTATAAATAAGAATAAATATTTCAATATTTCCATGGGAGGAAACTGATTTGTTATTTAAAAAGTATTCGATTTCTGTCTTTAAAGTGGGCTATTTGAAACTATCTAGGGATAATATTTTATTTTGAAGTTAAGAGAAATTCTTTTCTCACCCTTGTAATTTTAGTTAAGACAAATATGTCCCTTTCGCCCCTTCACAATTTCTATTCTTATCTATTATATCATCCATCATATTTTTTCCTCACAACTACTAACGCATCTAAAACTTACGATGAATAAACATTTATGGTATTTTCTCTGAGTATTTTAGACATTTAGCTTCAAAACAACTTTTAATTAGATAATTCTGATTCCTCAAATTTTTATTTTAACTCAAGATGAATGGGTTAATTAACCATCTTCGAAAATAATGTGAAAATATCAATATTTTTTTATGAATTTCTCCATCATTACATGACTACAAAAACTTTTCGATTTTCTTTTCATTGATGAAATCTATCCGTTTTTGGAATGTTTTTATCTATTCTATGCTTCTGAGGCATACGGGCAGACGTGTTAAAGCTCTACAACCTTTCAACTTTAATATTGAAACGTTTTTTATGCGATATTTACCTTTTAATTACCAATGGTTTGTTTGATAGAGAGTTGTAGTCTAGATAATGATATCTTGCATAATCAAATCACATCAATTTTGTAAGTATTTTTGTTAAATCCATATTAGTTGGTAAAATTTGTGACTTTCATTATACAAAATCATAGGAATGAAATACAGTTGTACTTAGTTTATCATTTTCTACTTTAAATAAGTGAAATCAATAAAATCATTTATTGATAAATAAGAATTGGAAATAATTCAGTTATTATATATGTATATAGATGTTTTCACTGTGTTTTATCATGTAATCTCAGAGAAAAAGTAAGTTTGATTATTTTTCAGACTAAAAGCTTTATTTTGAAATTCTAAAATCATAATTTTACTAATTGTATCTTTTAATTTGTATTATAATATTTTTAGAGTTTCTTCAAAGAAAATTGACGTAATGGGAAAACAAGGAGAATAAAGTGACGTTATAGATGAGGTATCGTCTATATAAGAATTTACCATTTCATATCTGTTGATAGTTCTATTTCCTATATATTTATAGTATTTGTATTATCACTAGAATAATGTTAATGTATAGTGACTTAATCGTAAAACAAATTATTACATTTTTACTTAATTTTCTAAGACTGAATTCGAAATTGCACTTTGGTTAATTTTTTAGAAGCACTTAAACACGCGCGCGATTCAATGCAATATTCTTTAATTACAGTTGGTTTTAAAAAGTTAAATGTAATTTTTCACATGCATAAATTTATTACTGAAAGACTTATTACTAAAGAAAGTTTTAGTTGAAACAATTGAATAAACGATTTCTCATTTTCCATATATTAAAGCATTTATTCACAAAATTTAAGGTTTCTTATTATATACAGAATAGTTTCGATACAATTTTATGCAGTTTTTAAAAATACTGAGATGTTCGTGGGTGATAGACTTCAGAAAATGATGTTCTTGTTAATAAAAACTTCTTTCATAGATTACTTAAACAGTCTCCATCTACAAATTTTGAAATATATTTAAAAGTTCATATTCTAATAATTAAGTGAAAAACGATACATTTGTATTCATCTGAAGTGATAACACTTGGAAATGAAACTAAATGTTGTGTTAATGTAGTAATTACTTTAGTAATCTTCGATAGCTATATGCTAATATGTGAAATATGCTGTATGGACTTTCAGCATGAAGTGTAACAAAATTTCGTAAAAAAATCAGAGTTTAAATAAAATATGAAGCACATATTAGACAAAACTAGTTGCTGTACAAACGTATTTACTTTGTTGTTTAAATTTTACATAAAAACAAGCAATATAAAAAATAAAGTCTGAATTCCTTCTTAGGTTTACAAAGAACAATTTTATTTTAGTTACTTTTTATCAAATAATTTCTTTTATATATATATATACATATATACATATGTGTGTACAATATTAAGGGATGGAATATAACGGGATTTTCCTTCCTATATATGATGTTGGACTAATGTTCTTGTTTGTTACTATGTATTCATTCATAAATTACGTTATCATAAATTGGGCCATCTCAGGTAGGATTTGAACCCACGACCTTTGGATCAGAAGTCCAAAGCACACACACACACTATCCTTTGTGCTACGGGGACACAACAAGTGATTTTCCATTTTATTTATGGTTTTGGGCTATTACTTTTGTTACTTTTTATTCATTAATTAAGTCTAACCAATGATATAATATTTGAAAAACTGTATTAACATCAAGTGTCTTCCACTACAAGTTTCAAAATCTGTATTTGAACTTGAATGAATGAATAGAAATTATTTTTTTAACGATTGATAATTTGAAAAATAATAATAATATATATAGGGAGATTGTGAACTAATAGTAGGAATTGAATAACTTATAATGAGGTTATTTACACTGGTATAAAATATCAATATTTATAGGTAGCGAATATGAGTATAACTCTCTAGATATATTATTCATGCATATATCGTACATACAAACTTTAAAATACGGCATATAACGTATGAATAAATTGGAATAAATAATTTAAATTCTCCTATTATGAAAGTTATGTGCTTATAACAAAAGCTTAAGCTACTAATACGTTAGAAAAGTTATTTTCATGATCATAAGCCAACAGTTTTTTGTATCTACAGCTTAGATTCATATATAAAATTGAAAATGTTTTTTGGAAAATATGTTTCCAAATAGAAAGCTTGAACTTTTAATTAATTTTAAGATTGTTTCATTCATTTTGAAGTTCTCTTACCTTTTCTGAGACATTACAATACATACATTTCGAAATCTTGCTAAATGGTTTTAATGAAGTATCTGCAAAATCTTTTAAATTATAATATGTATTACAGCATTTAATTAACAATTAATTCCTTCCAAAATTTGAAAGAAAAAATTAATGCAGAAATATATGATGTGCGTCTTTACTGCTCACACATATGTTAAATTTTTCGAAATGCGTCTTAACATAGAAGGGGAGAAACTTGCACTGTCTGTGTTTCGAGAAAAATATCAAATTAAATATTTGCGTGACCATAAACCTGCTTTGTATAATATTAGGTAATTCTATCTGTCTGTAAAATTATTGGAAGTAATGTGTACAAAATAATTTTTTTAAAGATTAGTTTGGTTACTCTTTCCCTAATACAGCATTTAAATTATTTTATTTGTATTTGTTCTGTTTAATCTGATTTTATTATCTTTAAAATTTGTAAAAATAAAATTTTCCAATTAATTATTTCGAAATGTAGACTTAAAATAATTTTTGAAAAATATGTTTAAATAAAATATCTGCAGTTCATACGTTGAAAGTATCAATGGCAAATAAAGTAAAGAAAACTGTTTTTTCGACGTAGTTATAAACGCGTGGGTTGTAATCTTTATAAAAAAAATTAAAACTAATAAATTAAACATAAATGCATAGATAATGGATGAAATGGATCGTTGAAAAATGAGTGGGAGGCAATGGCAGAAAAAAAATAGAAGTTTGAAAGACGTTGCTTTTCTAAAGAATGTTTCTTAGAAAAATTGAGAAAGTAAAAATTGTAAAGAAAGAGAATATATTTCAGAAGTAAATGATCAGATATATTTCTATATTACAGGACAGAATGCTATACGGATTCTTTTAGTTTTTCAATTAAGTATTCAGCGTTTTTATTTTCACAAAAAATAAAAATATTTCGAATGAAAGAATGATGAAGTCTTGGAACCAAGAATATCTCATTTCTAATAAGGGGAGCATAACAAAGAAATTTTTTCCCACCATTAATAAGAGACTATCATGTCATCATTTTTACACTAACTACCAATTAACCCAATTTCTCACTGGTCACGGTAATTTCAAAAGCTACCTGAACAAATTTAATTTAGCTCCTTCATCTTTCTGTGACTGTAATATTGGTGGCGAGGAAAATGTAGAACATGTGATCCTTCTGTGTTCCAAGTATGTCAGAGAGAGAAAGATCATAAGACTGGCGTTCAAGAGACTCAACATTAATTGGCCACCGAATTTTCACCAATTTCTTTCCACCAGAAGTGCTTTCAATAATTTCTGTAAATGTGTTGTAACTGTTTGTAATCTTTCTTAACTTCATTTTTTAATTGTTTATTTTCCTTGAATGTGTGTTTAATACTTACTTCTGTAAGCCCCGTGTGATACTTTGAGGTGCACGGGGATTTTATAATTGTTTTCAATTAAAAAAAAAGCTATATTAAAATGAATTTACTTTAAAAAAATATGTATACGTTTCTAAATATTTTTATAAACATTTAATACATTTGTATTTTATATGCATCTAGTATACACTAAGTATAATTATTTGTTACTGTTTGAGAATCAATAAACCTTAATCCCATAGTCAAAGAAAATATTTTGTTACGAATATATGGGGATGATGAAATTTGTATGAATGATGTTCGTATAAATTTTACACTCTACTTTTGTAAGTATAACCGTAATATCTGTTAATAGATATAACTTTCGTATAAATTCTTATTATTCCTTACTTTCAATAACTCATTAATTGCTTGTATTTTGCTATTTCATCAAATTATGCAAGTATTTGAATTTTTTTATGAGCCATTACAGTAAAAATTTGATGAAGCAATTATTATATTAAAAAAACTTTATAAATGCTTGAAAGAATACACACACAAACATACATATATATATATATATATATATATATATATATATATATATATATATATATATATATATATATATATAAACATATATATATATATATATATATATATATATATATATATATATATATATATATATATAAACATATATATATATATATATATATATATATATATATATATATGTGTGTAGCATCATATTGTGTTACTAATGTAACATTACTCTTATATGGATTGCTTAATGTAATATTTTCAGTATTTTCTTCTTTTTTTATCAGTGTCTAATTAATAACGTTTTCTTATAAGAAAATTCTAAAAGATTATATCAATGAATAAAAAAAATTACTTATATAAGTAGGATTGGAATCTTTAGTTTTGAAAAAATAAAAATACGTTAGGAATTTGTTACGTACAAATTGTAAGATATTTATAATAGGACAGTAAACGAGTTAAATCCTTTGTTAATTTAGGATTCTCTTTCCATATATAAAACAAATTTCACTGACAATTAAATCATATCATTACTCAGTGCAAAAATTCTGAAAAGAAATAAAAGACAATACGATTTAAATAGCTAGCACAAGGAGAGCTAATTGTAACTTTCGTTACAGTTATTTTTTAAAAAAATTAATTATTTAATTAACTTGTAATAAATTTTAACTAATCAAAAAGTATTTTACTCCTGCTTTTTTTCTTAATATGGAATGATTGGCGTGGAATTAGTAGAATTTATTAAAAAATACATTAAATATCTTTTAATTAAAGTTAGATGTGTAATAAGAATCAAAAAATTAAATTGCACATGTACGTGTTTAAATATTCAAGTTGAATAAAATGATGCAGGCTTCTTGCAATGTAAAAAGTCCATAAATGTATTGACATTCTGAAAAAATTTGAATTTTATTCGAATTGAAAAAATCCTTTTTCCTTAATATTCATTTTAATATGTCTTGAGCTAAATATGTGATGGATGAATAAAGTAAAATATTCCTCATAGTACCAACGTTATATTTTAAGCATACATTGAAACTCCAGCCTAAAAAGTATATTAAAAAACAATTTCTTATTGCTTTTATGAAACAGTAAATTTCAATTAAGATTTTTTTAGATCTAAGTCAAAAAAATTTTACTTCGTTAACTTGGCGTTTTATATTTCTTTTTTGTATAATTTTAAGTTAAAGTATTAATTTACATTTGGATTCTAATGTTTTTTTTTTGTATCAGAAAAATAAAATGTGAATATTATTGCTGACAGGCGAATAAAATATTTTTGATCTCTTATAATTATAAGGATAAATATCCAAGGAAAAAAAAGGCATAGAGAAATAAATATGTTTCTTTTGTTGATTCTAGAATATTAGCTATGAATTTGGCTCTAAAATGTATCATTCTTTTAAAAGAAAACATTAGTTTAATTAGCTTTGAGATGTGACACTAAATAAACGAAACAAAAAAAAACCATTTAGAGATATTATTAACAACTTAAAAATAGAGCATACAAACGGAGAGTGTTTGTGTACAATAATCGTAAAATTATACACACAATCACACTTATAACATACATATTCATATTTCTTATTATAGGAAGTACTAAATTAATATATTTTATCTTTTTTTACTAATTTTATAATTTAAATAAAAGGGACATATAAAAGTATTGGTCAAGCTACTAAAGGTACTTACGTTCAACGAAACAAAGTGCATCCGATGCGACAACACGTGATGTTTGAATCCTTCTTCCCCGGTGAAATATCCACCTCTCCCCCCCCAAAATAGGGGATTCGTGCTTCAAAGTGTTCCACAAACTGGCTACAGTTCATACATAAAAAAAATGGTAGAAAAAAACATAAGTCCAATATATATTTTTCCTCTTCGTCTTTTTCTTTTTTCTATTTTAACGGACAGTTTTTTTCCGTGTTTTTATTTTGTTTTTTTTCCTTTGTTTTTTTGCATAAAACTTGTCTTGGAGCACTTAAACCACGAAGCATATAGGTCCGCGGCTCTTATGGACTGCAAAGATCCTTTCCGTGCTCAGTTCGGAGGATAAACAACGCGCAGGCGCATGATTTGCGTTTGCGCTCAATAGAGGGCGCAGATCGTCAAACAAGACGGTAGCTAAATAGTGAATACCGATTCATTTTCGCTTGGCATCGAAGATGTGGAATTTTTCTTTCTCTTTTTATCCTTTTCTTTATTTTTTCCGATCTTCCTCTTTTCCCATCTCTTTTCGTGAAAATGAAATAATTAGTTTATATCGAGAGAATGGGAGAATATAAGACATAATTTTCGATAAATGGTACGAATTTTGTTTTTATTAAAACACGATAGTGATTTCTCTTATTAAAATATGTTGCTGCATCAATTCCTCTCCGATGGTTTCCAAATTATTTCTAACCATTCAGTGTAACGAAATAACCTGAAAAAATATTTAGAAATATACGCAAATATATTTAATTAAATATAATTATCCATCACACA